CTGGTGCCACCTCGGTCCCCGGGGGAAGGCGGGACTGCCGTGGGGATGCCGCCAGCCAGGTCTGTGCCCACAGCATCAGTGTTTGACTAATTGTTCCTTTTTTTAAAAAATTAAATCCCCTGTTCTGTTCTACTTCCTGTCTCCCCGTAAAGGGGAGACCTCAGAAGTAAAGGCATTTCACGTTTTGTTAATCAGCCTCCGTGGTGGTGACTGCCGGCGCCCAGGTGCGGGGAACCGGTAGGGACTGGGGACCCCCAGGGAGCATGGTGGGCGCCTGTGTGATGGTGTCTGTGGGACAGAGCCCCGGGGGGTGGCAAGGGCTTGGTGTGTTACATGCTGAAGTCCCGTGTGGTTGAAGGGCTCCCATGAGCCACCAAGATGAGGAAGATCGTGTGTGTGTGTGTGAAGAGAGGGGAGAGAGTGTGTGTGTGTGTGTGAGAGAGAGAGAGAGAGAGAGAGAGAGAGAGAGAGAGAGAGAGAGAGAGAGAGAGACAGGGAGCTGGGAGCACTCAATGGGGGACATTGAGCAGCAGGCGCTGGGCCCAGGCTACAGGTTTCTAAGGTTCTAGCAGAAGCTCATTCATCTCACAATAACGCTTGCGGCAGGCACAGTAACTCCCATTTTGCAGATGTGGGGACTGACATTCTGAGAGAAGGGACTTGCCCCCGGTCACATCTCAAACCAAGAACTAAACCATCTCCCTGGGGCCCTGGGGCCCTCGCTCTCTGGGGCCCTGGGGCCCTTGCATCTCTAGTGCCTGTTTACCCCGACTCTGACTGTCCCCCCCAACCCGCCCCACTCCAGCTGCCCTGCCTCTGCTGGTGCTCCAACCCTACCTAGGCCCTGGGTTCCCCTTCCACCCTGGACTCAGTTTCTTTTTTTTTTTTTTTAAGAACACAAGTTATTTTATTGTTATTTTTAAATATATTTTTATTGATTTCAGAGAGGAAGGGAGAGGGAGAGAGATAGAGACATCGATGAGGAGCTCTAGCTGGTTTGCTCAATGGTTAGAGCGTCGCCCTGCGGACTTAAGGGTCCAGGGTTCGATTCCGGTCCAGGGCACATGCCCGGGTTGTGGGCTCAATCCCCAGTAGGGGGCGTGCAGGAGGCAGTCAATGAACGATTCTTTGTCATCAGATGTTTCTCTCTCCCTTCCTCTCTGAAATCAATAAAAACATAAAATGAAGTAAAATAAATGAGAAGATTCTTAAAATAAGTAAAAGTGATCCCCAAGGGTCTCTGCTGCTGCTTGCAGGTTGCAGCTTGCAGGAGCCAGGCTGCTCTTGCTACAGCGAGGCAGCAGGGGGCGCCATGGTGCCGAATTTGGTCTTGGTCAGTCGTGCTATTTCTGTGCAGATGGGGGCGCCACGATGACCAGTCATCTGTAGGCCTGACATGTGAAAGCCAGAGCGGGGGTCATGGCTGTCCCCGGGGAGAAATTCAGTGGCACCACCCGTTCCTCTCCACTGTGAGTTGAATTGTATCCCCTAAAAGGAGATGTTGGCCCAGGCTGGTAAGGCTCAGTGGGTTGAGCACCGGCCTGTGCACTGAAAGGTCCCGGGTTCCGTCAGGGTTCATAACTGAGGTTGCACGCTCCATCCTTGGTCAGGGTGCAACTGATCGATGTTTCTCGTTCATAGTGATGCTTCTCTCTCTCTCTCTCTCTCTCTCTCTCTCTCTCTCTCCCCCCCCTCTCTCTCTCAAATCAATAAAACATTAAAAAAAGAGAGAGAGGTTGAATTGCTAACCTCCCCAGTTCCCTATAACTGACTTTATGTGGAAATACAGTTTTTGTACATGTCATCAAGATGAGGTCATATACTTTCAACAACAAAAAATATTATTAAGAAAAAAAATAAAAGCAGTTAAAAAAAAAAAAGATGAGGTCATGAAGGTGGGCCCTAATCCCATATGGTTGGTGTTTTTTATTTGTTTATTTTAAAACATATTTTTATTGATTTCAGAGAGGAAGGGAGAGGGAGAGAGAGAGAGAAACATCAGTGATGAGAGAGAATCATGGATCAGCTGCCTCCTGCACACCCCACACTGGGGATCGAGGCCGCAACCCGGGCCTGTGCCCTGACTGGGGATCGAACCGCCACCCCCTGGTTCATAGGTTGACGCTCAACCACTGAGCCACACCAGCCGGGCTGAAGAATTCACTTGTTGTGAAAGGTGGGTGAACCAGCCCTAGGATATGCGTGGGGCGGCGGGGGGGAGTGAGACCCCAAGAAACCCTGCCACGGTGCCCGTTTCAGCCCCCGAGCTGTTCCCTGGCCAAGCCATGCGTGGGTGAGGAGGCAGGCAGGGAGGTGGTGATTCCGAGAGGTGAGTGAGCAGCTCGGGGTCTCCTCTCCAGCCTGGAGCCCGAGCCAGGGGCTGCCACTCTGCAGACAGGATGGTTTCTGTCTTCAAGGGCACCGGGCCCCAAAACCCAGCTGCAATGGAGGACCCCGCTGCTCTGTGGTATCAACTACCCCATCCACGCTCACATCTGTCTTTGACACAGTCTCCCTGGGAACGGGTCCAAGGCCAGAGCCATTGGCCCGATAATGGTGGTGTCCACAGCTGGTCACACCTGCTCCCTCTGACCCTGTTGTCCCACTCAGAGCACCCACGCCGGGCTCACCCTCCCCTCCCCCAAACAGAGGAGCCGCGCAGGGAGAGAGAGAGTCCGGCACACTGCCCACCTGCTGTTCCGTGGCTTGGGAAGGCCAGGGACCTCGCGGATTTTGTAGGGATTTTCTGGTACTCCTCAAGTTATAGAACACAAATCCCCAGATCCCTCCCCCCCCTCGCCCCCCTGTGCGTCAGGTGTTTGGGTTAGGCTCCCCTGGCCCCTCCCTCTCCCTCCCAGGCCCTTGTGGGAGCAAAGAGTCTGGGGGATGTGGTCATATCAGGCCCCGTCTTTCCCTGGAGGCACCCCGAGTGAGTGGAGAGCCAAAGAAACCTCCCGCAGCTGCCCTGAGCCTAATCTCCACTCCCCGGAGGGCCCAGGCAGGAGGCCACCACTGCCCGGGCAACTGGGCCAGGCAGACACTCCCTCCAGATCCTTCCTCCCAAGGCCACCCAAGCCCAGGCCTACGTATTCGGAGGAGCGTCCAGTGGCATCTGTCCAGCTAGATGTCCACAGGATGGGCGCCATTTAGCCACGATGTGGGGCACAGCAGGCAGGACTCCTGCCAAGCCTGGTTGCACCCCAAAAATGGGGATGCCATTCACCCAGCAGGCTTTGCTTCACTGGCAGGATCCAGGCTTGAATGAGGACTGCAGGAAGGGCACCTTAGCCAGAGAGACATGCCAGCTGTTTTCCGAGCCTCTGGAAGGTGGGAGGAGGAGGGACTCCCGTGAGGGGGCAGGTGTGGTGTCAGGGTTACAGTCCAACTTCTCAGCCCACACACCACGGAAGACGGGGAGTTGTCCGTCTCCCAAAACACAGGCACCCAGATGGTGAGAGCAAAGGTCCTCCATGCCCAGCAAGAGCTGTGCTGGGAAAACAGGGACTGGAGGGGGCCTGGAGCCACATGGCATGGTGGGCACCTGGCCCTGTACCAACCTGCCTGGTCCCAGTCCTGGCTTTGCTGCTGGCTGGTGTGAGACGTTTAATGGTGCTTACCCAGTCCTGGCTTTGCTGCTGGCTGGTGTGAGACCTTTAATGGCGCTTACCTCGCCCAGCCAGCGTTGCTCAGTGGTCTAGCATTGACCTATGAACCAGGTTCGATTCCCGGTCAGGACACATGCCCAGGTTGCAGCCCGATCCCCAGTGTGGAGCATGCAGAAGGCAGCGGATCCGTGATTCCCTCTTATTGAGGTTTCTCTCTCTCTCTCTCTCTCCCTCTCTCTTCCTCTCTGAAATCAATAAAAATATAACAGCCCTGACTTGTTAGGCTCAGTGGATAGAGCGTCAGCCTGCGGATGGTTGGGTCCCAGGTTCGATTCCGGTCAAGGGCATGTACCTTGGTTGTGGGCACCTCCCCAGTAGGGGGTGTGCAGGAGGCAACTGATCGATGTTTCTGACTCTCTATCCCTCTCCCTTCCTCTCTGTAAAAAAAATCAATAAAAAATATTTTAAAAAAATAAAAATATAACAAAAAAAGGTGGAGGGATTAAGAAGTGCAAATTGGCAGTTGCAAAACAGTCACGGGGTGTGTCAATAAAGTACAGCGTAGGGAACAGAGTCAAGAATGTGGTAGAAACTACGTAGGGAACCAGGTACTGGAGATATTGGGGGCGGGGACACCTTGCAAAGTGTGTGACTGCCAACCACTATGCTGTGCGCCTGAAACTAATGCACAGTGATATTGCCCGTAAACTGCAATGGAAAAGTAAAACTGTAAAAAAAATAGCAAAGTGACCTGTGTGACTCCCATGACCCGAGCTAATATTGACAAAGCCCTTAGAACAGGGCCTGGCCAATAAAGACTTCTCTCCGCAGGTGACCTGCTACCTGTGGCACTTTAGAAAGGCGGCTTCCTACGCCTCAGGGACTGGGGACGTGGGGGAGATATTCCTTTTCTTGCCTGGCCCTCCTCGGACCCGTGGACTGGGTTTTGCATCCCCAAAGCATAAGGCATCTATAACGTGATCCCGTCTCTTCCCAGTTGTTCTGTGGGTGCGGGTTTTTTTTCCATGTCGTTATAAACTCTCCGTCAGCCGCAGTAAGCGCCAAGGTCTCCTGAGAAATTGCTTCCTATTTTCCTACTAAAAAGATACAAACAACTTTAAACTGAAAATATTTTCCGTTACTGAGGACCATTCGTCGGCAAACTATCGAAGGACCCTAATGTGTATTGTCAGGTGGTTTTTTTAGAAAAACGGAACCAATTTCCAGTCCTGCCAGCAACGTAGGAATTTCCAGTCCTCTTCACCAACTTTGTGCTGTTAATCCTCAGCCAGGGATATCTTTCCCGTTGCTTTTCAGAGAGGAAGGGAGAGGGAGGGAAAGATGGAAGCATCCATGAGGAGAGAAAGAGAGGAAGGGAGAGGGAGGGAGAGATAGAAGCGTCCATGAGGAGAGAAAATCACGGACCGGCGGCCTCCTGCACGCCCCCTACTGGGGATCGAGCACACAACCTGGGCACGTGCCCTCGACAGGAATCGAACACAGGACCCTTCAGTCCACAGGCCCACGGTCTATCCCAGCTGTGGGCAAACTATGGCCCGTGGGCCGGATCTGGCCCGTTTGAAATGAATAAAACTAAAAAAAAAAGACCGTACCCTTTTATGTAATGATGTTTACTTTGAATTTATATAAGTTCACACAAACACTCCATCCATGCTTTTGTTCCAGCCCTCCGGTCCAGTTTAAGAACCCATTGTGGCCTTGGAATCAAAAAGTTTGCCCACCCCTGGTCTATCCACTGAGCCAAACTAGCTAGGGCAAAATAAAGTTTAATAACTTATAAACCTCTAAATTACAAAAATGTAAAAGAAACAGGCAAAATCCATGTTTATCAATAGAAGACATTAAATAATGAAACATTAAATTTTTTGGATATTAGGTCTCCGAAACGTGGTGTGTATTTTTCACGGACATCTCCATTCCCACTAGTGGCAAGCCACATTCTCCCAACCTCATCTGCCACCCGTGGCTGGGAAGCCCAGATTGGTGGACGAAAGCCTGAGACGTGCAGAGGGCAAAGGTCTGCCAGCCCGGCTTCCCACGCCTTTACCTTCACCTCCCACCTGCTTCTCTGTCTGGGAACTGTCTGCTCAGCCACCTTGAACTTTCTCACTTTCCCCAGGGACCTTTGCTTGGCTCTCAGGTGCCATCCCAGACACCTGTGTCAACAGCCTCCCACCCT